GGCCTCTCTCACTTTTCTCACTTTGGGGTACACACTTCACTGGGGAGGTCTTTGCCTGCTCCAAGCTCCCCAGGGCAGCAACCCATTTAATCCACAGTTTAGATCTGTAACTGTCTGGATGACAGTGACAATCTCTGTGTTGCTACATTTAAAGAATTTACACAACGGGGCCTGCTCCCTTGTTGCTGTTAGCCCACTTAACTTTAGGAAAAACTCTCTTCAATAAAATCAAACAGCAGTGCTTTATAGCTCTGTTCCAACATTGAATGTGGGAACTGAAAATAAAACATATGTTTCTATTACAAAGGAATAAAGACCATTTCTACCAAAAACACTTTACCGGTCCTAGGAACAATCATTAAGACTACAGAAGTCATAAAACCACTGCCAGGAAAAGGTGACACTTGATAGTCAATCTTGCCCCAAATGTGCTGAATGATTCTTTTCACCATCAAAGCCAGAACATAGAACCTATTACTGCAAGTTAATCTTCTGAAGTGTATGCAATTTAATCCAATTCAACACATATATATGTGTGTGTGTGTGTGTGTGTGTGTGTGTGTGTGTGTGTGTGTGTGTGTAGTTGCTTGGCTGTATAGCTTGCTTGGAGTGTGAAACTTGCTACCTTATGGCTAGGTCTACACAGCCAAATGCTTCCAAATGCACTGTATAATTTGCTTAAAGAAGCTGAAGAAAGTGCTGAAGACAAAGCAGAGAGTGAGAGGTATCAGGTGTAACAGGGTGATAGAAAACCAAGATCAGATCACTGAAACCATGCACTCTCTGCAGATAGTAAAAACAGTACACTACATGTGCATTCTAAAACACATGTAAGAATACAAAAAAATGAATTAGATATCTACATAAATTAGCTACAAAGGGTAAAACAGTGACTTTGTAGTGAAGAAACGGGGGAGACACCACCTTACCCAAAAGATCTAGGTTATCACCACCCAGTATTGGGACAATGTAATATGATGTCCTGAGAGGCTACAGCATCGCTTCCACGGCATTCCTACCAAAAGCACATAACCTGAATCTAGTCATGAGGAAATGAACAAAAGCAAGCCAAGAGACATCTTACGAAATAGCTGGTCTATCCCCTCTAAAAATATCAAGAAAAACAAAGGCCAAAGAACTGTTCCTCATTAAAAGAAGACTAAAAAGACATGAAATTCAAGGCGACATGGACTGGACTGGACTGGATCAAGGCTGAGGAGACCGCTGTCTGGAGAGACTAAGGATTCTGCTTTAAGTCAACGGTCACTTAGTAGCAGAGCCGGGATGAGTAAAGCCCAAGCTCTTTCTGATTTGCTAGACCTAAGAGGTTAGGGGTCAAGTCCCAAAATTCATGCATTTTTTAAAATATTTTTATTTTTAGCTTTAAGCATTTTTTAGGTCAAAGTTTTTATACTCTACCATGAAAAATGGTATATTAGGCACTTGATCTTCTTGGATTTGACATTCACACTTAGAAATACACATGAATAGAGGCACTTGGGCGGCTCAGTCAGTTAAGCGACCAACTCTTGCTTTCGGCTCAGGTCATGATCCCAGGGTCATGGAATCAAGCCCTGCATCAGGCTCCACACGGGTTATGGAGCCTGCTTAGTATTCTCTCTCCCCCTCTGTACCCACTCCACCCCCCCAGTTGTGCTCTCTCTTATTAAAAAAAAAAAAAAAGAAAAAAAGAAAAAAACACATGGATAATCATAAAGACCAATGAGCTGTAATACTCTATAAACAGTCAAAAAACAGATTCACCTGTGTTATGTGTCTTATGAAAGAAAACACAGCTAGTAGATGAACTTAATCAACCATCTGTCATGGTTGTGCAAATAATAAAAATTTTAGCTCTGGGGGAAATGTAGAAAATAATTCCCCCTCCCAACCGACTGCTTACACTAGTAAAAAAATTAATGGTAAAAGTAATGAATGCAGGAAGTCTCTGATGTTCTAACCTCAAAACTGGAGCTAGGCTTCCTTCCATTTGGTAGAGGAAATCATATGGTTCTGGTGATACATTCCTATCTGAGATTCCTAAAAACTCTATCTACATGTTCTTTGCAAATGATGAGGGTCTATCAGACTTTTATTTGTCCTAAAATTATATTTCATTGGGCAGAATCATTCCTGTATGATCACCTTTTCCCCTTTCTTATAACAGTTAAAATCAGATTAAACTGAACATCAGGGAAAACACTGACAGAACAAGTTACAAAACCATGAAAAGAACCTAAGAAAAGGAGGAGTAGTCTATATAGTTGGTGATGCTACAAGTTTCAAGGATTATGAACTGAGACAAATACACACACGCTTCAGGCCTCATTATTCATTTATCTTAAAAATTACTGACCACCTCTGTATGCCGGGTACTCTCCTAGGAGATTTAGTACGGAACAAATCTGACAAAGTTTCTCACGGAGAAATGTTATAGTCGGGAGTAAGTGTACATTAAGTAACCAAAAAATTAACTTAAGATATAACATGGTAGGTGGTACTAAGAGTTATGAAGAATAATAAGGCAGGACAAGACGATAGAGCGACGAGAGGACATTTTGGCTGGAGTGATCTGAGAAGGCTTCTCGTAGGAAGTGCCATCTGAGCTAACACACAGTGCGTGGAGGCGGCAGGCTCAAGGCTGGAAGGAGAGGCCGCCATGTGTGCCGACTGCTCGTGCTGGCGGAGGCACGCATCTGAGTGAGGCGCAGCTGCCAGGTGAGGATTCAGCATAAGAGTGTGGCATGAGTTAGGTTCTAGCAGGAGCATGCTGGCTACAGAGCAGGAAGCTCTCATTAGAGAAGAACAAAAACAAGATCAGCTAGAGGCCGGTCCAACAGCACGGGCAAAGGTGGAGGTGGTGGTTCAAACCAGAGGACTAGCAGCAGCGGGAGGAGGAAGACATTCTCGGATTGGGATTCGATTTTCAAAGTAAAGCTGACAGGATTGCTGAGGAGCTGAATGTAGAATTTTGAGAGAAAGATAAAAGGCTAGAATGGCAATAGGGCTTCTACCCTCAGCCTCCCAGTGACTACATATAACATTTAGTAAGAAGACTGAAGAAAGAAGAAGGAAGGTTAGGGATGGCGAGAAATCAAGACTTTGGTTGTATATACTAGGTTTCAGATGCCCATTAGTCATCAAAGTAGAGGTAGCTAGTATAAGCAACTAGACATCCAGACCCCGGAGAGAAGTATTAACAGACGCTCTAGCTCACTCACCCATGCTTGCTCTCTTGCACTCTCGAGGCATGGGCATGCACGCGCACGCTCTCTGTCTCTCCATACATCTATCTATCTATAGATAGATAGATGGATGGATAGATAGATGTATGTGAATCACATATATGTGTTTTTGCGTATGAATGAAGAAAAGTTCAAGAAGGAAAATATGAAGAAGAGTGAAGAGAAACTTGACCATTTACTGTATCTATTTTGGCACTATTTGCAAATATTTTAATAAGAATGTAGAACTTCTGCAATTTAAAAAGGGGGCATTTCTTTTGTCTCCCCCTATAAAAAAATAAGCTGGTGAAAACAATCCGAAGTACAGAGTTAACAAGACTGCTACCAAAACAGCACTCAGAGATAACCACTGTTCACTTTGTAGATACTTTTCCCTATACATTTAAATATATACACAATACAGTTTTGTTCTGTTTTGAAGTACAGTTCACCTTTGTTTTAGCAAACCTGAACTCAAAAAGTGGCAGCCATGGAGTCCAGCCATGTTTTCAGTTTTGTTTTGATTAACTTTCCATGCTTCTAGAGTAGGCTCCACTGACCAGTTCACCAGGACCACCTACCACTCCCAGCCACCTCACAGCCTGACTCACTTATTTAGGAGACGCTGCCTGGTATCTGAGGACATTTGCACTTTCTGCCCTGCTTCTCAGAGCCTTATAGCTGGGGTCTCCCTTATGAAATCATAAGCATGTTTCCATTTCATAAAGAATTATTTGTAAACCTAATCTTTAAGTGGACATCTTTACATATAATCCTCTGTGCATATTTCTAACATCTTTACATATAATCCTCTGTGCATATTTCTAATGGAGAATCCAGTCTTTTATTAAGCATGTTTTAGCACCACCTCAAGGAGTCACTGTCTAGCCACCAAAAGAGTGAAGACGGACTAAAAACAGTTTACCTTCAGTTCTTTCAACAAATACCTACCATGATCATGGGCCAGTGCATGTGGGAGGGGGGGTGAGAGACAGCACTTTTTAAAGATAATTTCAAATAGTGAAACATGCTGTGAATAAAATAAGAATATCTGAGAACATAAATGGGCAGAAGGGGGAAAAAAGGAATGTTATTTAGGCAGGTGGCTGGAGAAAACCTCCTGAGGAAATGGCCCTCGAGCCCAAGGCTCTGAGAAGAGGAGATGTGGGAATACCATACAGATGAACAGCCCAAGTACACGGAAGAAATGCAGAAGCCTTGAGAAAGGAAGGAGCGTGGTGTGTCAGAGGGGGAGAAGGAAGGCAATGTCGTCAGAACATCATAGAGAGAGCAAGGCATGGATGGCCTCGGTGGCCACAGGAAAGAATCTGGATATTTATCCTAATTGTAGTAGGAAACTATTGACAAGTTATCAAGAGGGACACGATGTGATCGGATTCAGGCTTAGTGATCAGCGTGGCAGTTTGGAGCCTACAATGTAAGGAGGGAAAGAACAGGGAGACCAGTTAGGAGGCCACCACTGTCTCCAGCTGAGAGGACAGTCGCATGAATCAACATTTCAGAAGGTATGGCGGTGAGAAGTGTTTAGATGCAGGACATACTCTGGAGGTAACAGCAATATGATTTGCTGATGGAATCAGGATTCTGGGCCTGGGTGAACAAGGATCCATCTGCGTGCACACCATGAGTCACTTTTTAGCCTCCCCACGGACCTCCTCAGTACTCACCTCGCCAGGCTATGGCTAGAGCATGCGGGCAACAATTCCTTGTACAATCAATGCTGAAATATAAAATGTATTGTACTGTCTCACTTACCCAAATTAGGATCAGTAGCCTGACGTTTCTTAATTTTAGCTTCAGAAATAGCAGAATAATAGGCACAGGTCATCTTGATCAGCCACGTTGCTCGAACCATTGGCACTGAATATTTAGCTAAATATGCAAAAACATCTTCTTTTTTACTAAGGATTGGAACCTAAAAAGAAATAACATATTTATAAAAATCACATATTATTTTCATCATGAGGTCAACCTACAGAAAGGGAAAGCAAAAGAAAGACATTCAGTCCCTGCTGCCTCTAAGAAAGTATATGCTCGATGGATTTTCAAATAGTACATTCAGCTTAAAAACCAAAAACTTTAAGCAAATTTTCATTAAAAGAATCAAAACTATGTTTAGCACACTGACAACAGTTTTATCAGTTGTGCTCTCTTATTTATAAAAAAACAAATTACTTTCAAATTCTCAGATGCTGAAAGCTACTCATCATATCAACAAAATAGGGAAAATAATTTCATGACAGTACTCCAAGGAGTTTATCTCAAAATTGGAAGGGATGGTCAAGTGAAAAACGGTCCCCACACCAAATTTTATCAAAGAACACTTTTTTATATAAAGCTTTCTGGCTGTAACATTCATAATAATTTCTAGAAAGCTTCTAAAGTGCCTTTAGCCCAAAATTTAAAATAGAGGCTAAAATGATGGATCAGTTAATCTGCCTAATAAACACTGAGCTAGAAATAGCTGGTTAATTAATTCACTGGTTGAAAGTAGGCACTTGAGGCAGTTCATTATTTCTTCCAGACCACGAAGATGTACTATTTAGCAAATTAGTATCCCAATGTACCACTGAATGTTTCAAAGAGTTAACCCACTCTTCTACAATTCCTCCTAAATATCCTAGGCACAGGCCAGTCATCTATATATGATCTATTCAATTTACGAATGTAGAGTACAACAGTGGACAGAGTACGTTGGCCATGATACACAGGATGGGAGCAGTAAGCACCCACCACTCCCTCTACCACCTCTGTGCTCTGGTCCTGGCCCCCAGCCTGTACAGCTAAACCCATTACTCCCAGGCTCTTCATTTATGAATGTGGTAATACCAACACAACCCTGTCCACCCCACAGACTTGTCAGAAGGGTAAAAGAATTACATGTATCAAAACCAGAACAGTTTTTATTTTGTTACCAATTCCAAAGATTTCTAGGTGCCAGCTAAAGTCTGTTTCAAGCCAGGCATTTGACCCTCTCCTAAAAGGATCCTGGACACTACCACCATGGCTATCAAGAGCCCTGGTCTCTATGTGCCACACCCTAGCTTGATTTTGCGTTGGATATCAAAAGACTTCAAATCAGCTGATTGTTACAGCATGGCATTTTTCTTAGTCAAATCCTCCTTTAGACAGTGGATATTTTGTATCATTTGTATGTTGCAAATTTGACTATTCACCAGCTTGGACCCAAGTGTGATCGCAGAATTAAAAGAGAAGTGGGTTTTGTACACAGCCCTTTAAAACAAGCTATTTCACCTGGTTCTTACCAAAGAAACATTCAAGCTGCCCCAATGCTGAAGGAAAAGCTGCCTGGTTCCACACTGAGATGCAGCTGTCCATACACTGTCTTTCATGGGCAACTTAACAAACTTTTGGTCACATACAATTCCTGCCTTGGGTGCTGACTTTAAACATAACCCCGATGACAGAGGCAGCTACGCTGCACAAATACACCTAAAAGGGAGATGAAAGTCACATAGGCCAAAGCTATAAGGCTTCCTCTCTGCAGACCACAGTGATACATTTTAACAAGAAAATTTCCTGAAAATTTTGTTTACAAGGCACGTCTTTCATGGAGCACAAGACTCTGGGTTTACAGACTATCACTGAAGCCAGGGACAAGAAAAGCACAGGCTTATATATTCAGTGCAAAACCTGAGATGCTGCTTTTCACTAGAACACTAGTATGAGAGAGTTAAATTTTAGTTGTCAAGGTCAGGTTGACGCTCATTCAGATGAACCAAAAGAGTACTAGATCAAAGCCTAAAAAACAGGCAAAAGCAAAAAAGTAAATGTAGCATCTCCAAAGAAACATTACTAATAGCATCTTCTATAGATGCCCAAAGGATTTCTTTTGAACAAATGACAGGAGAAAAATAAAAACCTGAACATGTGAAATGTTTAGATGAAATAGCAAACAAAACTGAGCCATAGGTCTTACCATTAACAAGCTAAGGCATACCTCCAGCTCACTGCCCCCGAGCCCCATAAGATATGGTTTGCTCAAATCAAGGGATTTAAAATTCAGAAGAACTTATGTGAAGAAGGCTATTTAATTAAGGAAGAAGACACATATTGACGGTTATCAAATTTATAGTTTGGACCAACTCAGGAAGGAAATTATGTTTACAGTGACTGAAGTAGGACCTCCTTACAGTCACGGATCCCATTTTCAGCAAAGAAACCATCTAACTTTAACTTGTAACTGAACCTAGGCAATCACTGGACAGTGTTTTGTTTTAAGATTTTATTTTTATTTATTTGAGAGAGAGACAGCGAGAGGGGAACACAAGCAGAAGCAGGATTCCCGCGGAGCAGGGAGCCCAATGTGGGGCTCGATCCCAGGACCCTGGGATCATGACCTGAGCCAAAGACACTTAGCAACTGAGCCACCCAGGCACCCAGCTGTTTTGTTTCTAAACCAAGCTAGAGCTGCATCTAAGTAGTAAAAGAAAACTAAGACACTTAGCATGTGATGTTTTTTCATCCACAAAAGGGCTTTATCACCTTGTAGTGCCTTTCCCCTCGGATGAACATCACTGTCAATACTCTCTGTGTTCACCAAGCAGAAGTAGAGGCAAAAGGAAATTCCAGAGACCACAGTAATCAACATCACCTGAAGTGAACATGTCATACCTAGTGAACTCTTCAAGAGCCAGAAGAATATCCCTAGAGCCTATAAGTCTATTTTTCCAAATCTACCAATGACCACATGATTGAGTTAAAAGGCCCTTTACAGGCCATTATTGACCTCTCTGTGGCTAAATACTTGGGAGTGCTGTGGAGTTGTAAAATAATGGAAAACCAGGCCCAGAAACTTGACCTATTCCATACAGGAAACTATTTTGAACTCTAGAACAGAGTTGGAAGAGGGCTCAAGATTTTAGCAGGAAAATTAAGGCCCTCTGCATTAAGTCATCTCATAAACACCAGAAATTAAAGAAGTATTTGAACTTTCTAATATGAAGAACATGGCAGAGAATGCAATCTTTTACCCAGATCCAAAAGAGTTTCTGTCATCTCAAGAATATGATATGCTGAGGAGTGGAGGAGAGAAGGGAGGGACTCTTCAAGTGCCCAAGAAATGACTACTTCAAGGCACAGTCAATGGTGTTACCAAAAAAAAAAAAAAAGAAAAAGAAAAAGAAAAAAAGTTTAACTTTGCACAGAATTCATGTCAGGGCTTACCTGAGAGACACCTGACTTGGCCAGAGACAGCTCCTAATAAAGAGAAGAACAATGGCTAATACAATGCACTGTGATTCATCTCCCTCCTCAAAGATGAGCAACCACTCCACCCCTAAAGCAAGGGCATCAGGTCCTCGCCAGTATCCACTTTCAGGAAATATCCAAAAAAGGGATTCTAAAAGCTCATTTTAAAAAAGGAAAACCTAAAAAGAAAGATGTCAGAATGGCTACATGGGAACTGAAGGTCCTAATCAACACGGAGGGCATGAACTATTGGTTAGAAAGCCATGAAATATCAAAGGATGCCCTTTGACTTACGGGGCCTTCAGACACAATTTACAGGTCATCGTGGGCCCACATGGTAAATGTCCACTACTGGGAAAGAAATGCTACACGGTTCAGCCTGTGTTGAGACAGGTACAACCTGAGTAGCAAGAGGTGATTATGCTGATTGTTGTGCTTTTCAAGGATTCCAGTTGCCTTTAATCACAAGGCAACACAATGTGATGGCGGCACTAGGGCAAAAAAAAAAGCCAATGGGAGCTACAGGCTATTTTCAGAGAGTTGCTTTAGAAAACAAATACAAAAAGGAGCTCTCCTTTAAGCCAGGCCTGCACCACACTAGTTAATAACACTATCAAGAACAGAAGATGGACACCCTAAAGACTAAAGGGTTTCAGGCCAGATGAGAAAGACATGTGGGATGATTTCAAAGGTGTGCAAGACAGAGATCACTGGAAGCTATAAATACACCTGTCCATTTTGTTCTGAAACTTTTTCAAAGAAGTTTTTCAAGCACACCCAGAACTGCTATCTTACTTGTTAGGAAGGAGACTTAGCTTAAAGCATTTGGATTGGTACTTTTCAAGACAAGAAAGTAACATCAAAGCAAGAATTTCCAAACGACACATTTTGGACATCCTGGCCTAAGAACACTGAAAATGTAATGGAAATAAAGTCTTATTGCCTACTCTCGATTTAAAAAACTCGTCTACCTAAAGTCCACATAGGGGTGCCTGGGTGGCTCAGTCGGTTTAAGCGTCTGCCTTCGGCTCAGGTCATGATCCCAGGGTCCTGGGATCGAGCCCCACATCGGGCTCCCTGCTCAGCGGGGAGTCTTCTCCTTCTCCCTCCCCCAGCTTGTACTTGCTCTCTCGCTCACTCTCAAATAAAATCTTAAAAAATAAATAAAGTCCACATAAACTGCTTCCTGTGTGGAATGTTTAGGTCAAGATGCACCAGGAACCACATGCCATCCAAAAAAAGGGAGAAACAGCATTATGTGCAGCACACACCTGGTAACAGTGTACCTGCCACTGAAGCTTTGAGTTTTGGAAAGAACAGGGGGAAAGCAATACACACTTGAACATTAGCTCAAACATCGTGATTTCTAGAAGACCATAATTAAAACAATGCAAGAAACACTTAATACCTTTTTTGCCAAAATAGCAAGTGGTTTATTTCCTGCTAAGTCAGAGAACCAACTATGAATTGCACTCTGGGATCGAGCAGTAACCAGCCAATAATTATCTTTAGCATTAACTTGTGGTTTCTTCTTTCCGGTGTCCTGGAAAGTGTTAAGCTTTAGTTTCTCAGCTAATATGCTGCTGAAATAAGCTCCAATCTGTTGGAAACGAGAGGAAAAAAAAGAAAAAGTTTGAAGACAGTATGTATGTTAGTAATGTATAGCAGTATTTTATTTTTGTTTTAGGAGAATATCTTCAAGCAGCCCATCAGAAAATAAATGGCAATTTAAGTCCTTGAAGCCAAGAGTTGTGATTTCCTTATACTAACATAATGCAAAAACTCCCACAGCACTTTTGTTCCACTGTTAACAAGTGGTTCAAGGAAAAAAGAAGAGCCTTTGAAAATGAGAAGATGAAATTAATTACATCCTGAATAAATTTCAAGAGAATGGGCTCTGCTTTACTCTTCAGCTGTACTTCTTTTTCAGACTACATACACATTTGGAGAGAATATGTTTCCTGAGAGGTGTTGCATGCAAGAGCAGAAAGTCTAGTAATCACACAGTAATCATTCTTTTTCTGGTTTCATCTTAATAGCATATATTTTTGGTAAGGAAAATTCTGTATTCACAGTGCTTTTCAAAAAAAAGAGTCTAGAAAAAATTATTTAAATGGAAAATTACAAAAGGTTCAATTAAATTAAGTATTCAACATTTTTAACTGGGCTGCCAATTAATTTCAAGAGTACAAGTATTTCAAGAGAAAGTTAGTGTTACCTACTCTGAATGGAATAAAGTAGCAAAGGGAGTTCCTGTGAACAACTGTGGCATTGTCATATTAACCAAACTAAGAGGACAAAAGAGGAAGAAAGGCACAAGAAGGAAAGGGATAAATACCTAAAACTTAAGTGAATCCACAGAAAACTTGGAATTGCCAAGAATCCTATTCCATTCGCTGGTAATTGTTTAATAATATGATACAAACAACAGGTGAGGTTAGCCAACAGTGGCAACCATGATTAAAATAAAATACCTACCCTGGTGAAGCAAAATAAGAATCACCACCTTAGTTAATGCTCATGAGTCAATAAACAATTAGTTCGTAGGTTGGAACACAGTTGTTAGCAATTAGTCAAGTTTATCTACAAGGGTGAAAAGCTGGTACACTTTTACTTAATGTGAACTGGCATTCCTTGACCCTTGTGATTTATGGACAACAAAAAAAAGTCTATTTTGGTGTGTTAATATAATATGGTAATAAAAAATTAGAGTAATTAGAAAAAAGATCTGAGCTTTACTTTTTTTTTTAAACAAACTTCATGGTGTGTGTTTTTTTTTTTTAAGCAAATGTTTGCAGAATGTTTAAATGGGAAATAAATGCAAAAATTTAGCAAAACCAGTTTTTGTTTAGGAACAAGCAGCCAACAAATTGTTTAATTTTAAATTTCTCAATCAATATTTGGTCTTTACACCAAGAACTTAAAACCCCTACTTACACTGCCTGTTTAAATTTAAAAGGTCTCTTATTTGCAATTATGTAGGAGTATTTTAATAATAAACAAAGGTATAAAATTTTTTTAAAAAAAACTAGTCAGCAATCTGTTTTACAATTATAATTTTTGTATTTAATAACAATGGAACATGTGACTGTATGTGCCATTTTACATCCTAACAAACCTCGGGAACCACTGCACACTGTAAACTAAGTCAAAATTCCCTAAAAGAGAGAAAGGGGGGGGAATCAAAACATGACCATGCACTTAATTTTATATTCATATTATTCCAAACCTAAAAAAATAAAGAGCCTCATTCCCAAGTCCCAATGCCTACCTCCAAGTAACCACGTTGGTTAGTTTCTTATGTCTTCCCAGGGTTTCTTCAGGTGAATATGAATGAACAAACACGAATATATTACTTTCTCTTTTTTACATGTATACCTCTTTGTGTACATTTAGTAAATGTCTGAGAGCCTTCCACATCTGTACACGGAAAATCGCTTTTCACTTTCACAAATGATGTACTGTGTGGGTGCACCATATTTGTATATAATCAAGCCCCTGTTAACAGACATCTGGAGTGTTTTCCCCAAACTTCTGCTATTACAAATCACATTAAAATGAATAACCTCTCCTATTTGTTATCGCATACATGTACAACTACAGATTTCAGATAAATTTCCAGAATTCAGATTGCACAATTCTGTAATTTTAATCAGCACTGTTAAATTGCCCTCCATAAGCTTCAGACCAATGTGCACTCCCTCAGACAAGGTAGGAGAGAAGTTGTTTAATTTAAAACTTGTTTCCAGGGGCGTCTGGGTGGCTCAGTTGTTAAGTATCTGCCTTTGGCTCAGGTCATGATCCCGGGGTCCTGGGATCGGGCCCCACATCAGGCTCCCTGCTCCACGGGAAGCCTGCTTCTCCCTCTCCCACTCCCCCTGCTTGTGTTCCCTCTCTCACTGTGTCTCTCTCTGTCAAATAAATAAATAAAATCTTTTAAAAATAAATAAATAAATAAAACTTGTTTCCATCCATCCAAAGCTATTTTGAAAGTAATTCATTTTATAAGAAAATGGAAAAAAGTTTAGGGACTACACTATAGTTCATGTATTCCATATTCATAAGCTCAAATTCCCTTCAGAAGGTTTGAATCCTTGAGTAAATCTCACAGGAAGGGTTGGCAAAAGCAGAAGCTGTAATGGGTGTTATTTCCATTTATTCAGTTATTTAAATTGACATAAAACTTGATACAACAGAATAACTTGGCAGTTCATATCAAGAGACACAGCATTCATACTTTCTGTTATGGGCTGAATTGTGTTCCCCCAAAATTCGGATGTTGAAGCCCTAATCCCCAATGTGACTGTATTTGGAGACAAGGCCTTTAAAGAGGTCAAATGAGGTCAAAAGGGCGGGGCTTAATCCAATGGACTGGTGTCCTTATAAGAAGAAACAGAATACACGCACATAGAGGAAAGACTGTGTAAGGACAGAGTGAGAGGCCAGCCTCGTGCAAGCCAAGGAGAGAGCCCTCAGAAGAAACCAGACCTATTGACACCTTGATCTTGGACTACCAGCCTCCTCGACTGTGAGAAAATAAATTGTTTCTCAGAAAATTAAATTCCTGTTGTTTAAGCCACCCAGTTTGTGGTATTTTGTTATGGCGGCCCAAACAGACTAAGACACCTTCTACCCAAGTAAATACGCTTCTGGAAATTTATCCAAAAGAACAAAAGCTGTATGTTCAAATACGACTACAGCCTCTTCATAAATAACCATAAGAAATTAGCAACCGGCTAATTATTATATACTAGGTCATTATAGCATGTAAATGATAAAATGTTATCTGTCCATTAATAATTATTAATATGAATACTTCAGCCTCAAGGAAAAGTGCATACAAAATAATGTTACCTTTTAAAAAAAAAAACATAAGACAAAAAAGTTCTGAAGATGGTGGTGATGGTAACACACCAATGTAAATGCATTAAATGCCAAAGAACTGTACATTTTAAAATGTTAAGGGGCGCCTGGGTGGCTCAGTCAGTTCAGCATCTGACTCTTGATCTCAGCTCAGGTCTTCATCTCAGGGTCATGAGTTCAAGTCTTGTGTTAGGCTCCAATAAGTAAAATAAAATAAAATAAAAATGGTAAAACGGTAAATTTTATGTTATGTATATTTTACCACAATTTACAAAAAGAAAACCAATTACAACATATATGTAATTGTGGTTGTGATGCTAAAAAGTATACAAAAACTGGTGGGCACCTGGGTGGCTCAGTTGTTAAGCGTCTGCCTTCAGCTCAGGTCATGATCCCAGGGTCCTGGGATCGAGCCCCACATCGGGCTCCCCGCTCAGCGGGAAGCCTGCTTCTCCCTCTCCCACTTCCCCTGCTTGTGTTCCCTCTCTCGCTGTGTCTCTCTCTGTCAAATAAATAAAATCTTTAAAAAAAAAAAAAAAGTACACGAAGACTGGAAAAAGACAAAACTAAAAACACTGTGTTTGGTTATGGGGTTATCTGTAGAAAATGCTGTTTCCTTTCACATTGTTCACATATTGCAGTTGATTAGCAAATTATCAAGTACATTTGTGTACATGTGCACACACAGATCTTAAATGACACACAAATCCCTGACAATGGTTAGCTCTGGGGAAGGGGAAGGAAGTATATTTGTATGTTTGATTTCATTTGTATAATGCTTTCAATTTAATAAAAATACTTCAAATTCAGAAAATAAAAATAACTCAAGAAGGATGAGAAAATCAAACCTTAAAAGAATATAAACAAGCAAATAATTCTACCTATAATTATTAACATAACCACACAGAGAAAGAGATTCAAGAAAATTTTTAACACAACATTCTGACTATATACCCTTAATGAACATTAGTCTAAGGACAAAAAGTATAATAGGAAAATTATAAATTTTCCACAGTAATTTTGTTGTTGGAGTAGCATTACTATAGTTTATTCTGGAACTTTTTAACGTGTATTTTAAAAAAGAGTAAATAAATAGATACATTGAATTTACTAAAAGCCAGGGTTCTCACTTTGGGAGAAATGAGATAAAAAGATGGAACAGAAAAGAGAAAAAACCCTGTGGTATTGGGTAAGAACTGGCAGATGGATGCAAGGAAAGAAGCAAAAGGAGAGAAGACAAGAGAAGAGAAAAAACAAATCTATGTTGTTTCCCATCTCTGTCCACTGAAAGGACCTAGAAGTTATGATACTCTAGTCGCAATGAGCATGCCAAGCATCCAGATCTGGGCTGGTGCACAGAAAGAACATGAATCTGAATATGTTATTTTATCAAAGGTAAGGAAGTGCTCAAAGAATGATGGGGATGTCGAAAGCACCCAAGAAATAGGTTAAAGGCACCCCCTGGCCAAGTGAGAGACAATTTAAACATCAAAAAGAGAAAAGATGATACATCAAATTTTAAAGAGTCCTGGAGTTCAAAGCGATACTAAAAAATGGGATGTCAGGGCACCTGGCTGGCTCAGTGGGTGGAGCATCCAACTCTTGATCTCAGGGTCCTGAGCTCAAGCCCCACACTGGGTGTGGAGATTACTTTAAAAAAAGAAAAATGGAGTTTTTGGGGTACCTGGATGGCTCAGTCGGTAAAGCATGCAACCCTTAACCTCAGGGTGGTGAGTTCAAGCCCCACATTGGGCAGGGAGCCTACTTAAAACAATAAAATAATAAAAAATAAAATAAATTTTAAAATGAGGTGTCCCTTTACAAAAGAATGCCATCTAATAAATGTATGAGAAATGACAACTGGAAAACCAGCATTCTGCAACCACCAGCAAAATAACTCATTCAGCAAGCATTATCAACTGATGATACAATCACAAGATAAGACTGTATTGAAGAATAGCATATTCATTTGGTCTCAAAGTATCACCCTGGAGGGATTACTACAAGGAAAAGATAACTTCCTTTACAATGTAAAGTGACAGCAGACACTACCTTCCGATCATCAAACGTAGTATAAACAATAACAGGGCAAACTGGCACTGCATGTCTTCTGATATGCAATGTAGTCTTCTTGCCAAAAATATTTAACCTGAACCTTGTCAGGAAAAAAACAATCAGACAAATCTAGAATGTAGGACTAGAATATAAGAAAATAACTGGGAACACCTGGGTCCCTCAGTCGGTTGAGCATCTGCCTTCAGCTTGGGTCATGATCCCAGGATCCTGAGATCAAGCCCCGCATCAGGCTCCCTGCTTCTCCCTCTCCCTCTGCTCCTTGCCCACTTGTACTCTCTTACTCTCTCCCTCTCTCAAATAAATAAAATCTTAAAAAAAAAAAAAAAAAAAAAGGCGTAACTGGACAGCAGCTCTGAAAGCCCTCCCTCTCCCAAAAATAACAACATGAGCAAAGGCGGAGAGCAGTACTGTGCTGGATTACAATAGACGAAAGAGACAAGACACCCAAATGCAATGCATGATCCCTGATTGGGTCCTAGGGCAGGACATTATACAAGGTATTCTGGGGAATTCTGAATATGGATTGTGGTTTTAAATAACACTAATTTATCAACATTCACACACACTTTTCAGGGTGTCACACACTTTTTCAGAAGTTTTAGGAAATAGACAATTTGCATTACCTTTGATGGGTTAATTACAATATTTCTGGCTGAGCCATGTTCATCTCCAGTAAAGGCTGGCTGATTGTTGAAGCCTTGCTTTACATTCACAGCAGTAAGTTCATCCTGTTCAAGAAAAGGTATCAATTAATCAGAAAGATTATAAAAGCTCTAACTTTACCCAGCATACTACAGCCTCAGTAATGACCGACTATGCTATACTCTGTAGAACTGTTGGAACACACACCAAAGAGAGAGCAGAAATTGAATATTTAAAACCAATACACAGGGACGCCTGAGTGGCTCAGTCGGTTAAACCTCTGCCTCTGCTCAGGTCATGATCCCAGGGTCCTGGGATCAAGTTCCACATCAGGCTCTTTGCTCAGCAGGGAGCCTGCTTCTTCTCCCTCTGCTTGGCGCTCCCCCTGCTTGTGCACACACGCTCTCTCCCTCTCTCTGACAAATAAAATCTTAAATAAGTAAATAAACACACAAAACCAGTACACAAATGTACAGAGATAAAAATAAATGTGGCAAAATATTAACTGTTAAATATAGAGTATGTGGGTGCTCATTATACTAGGCTCTCAATTATTCTGTAAGTTTACAAATTTTTAACTAATAAGTCGGGAAAAGAAAAAATGAGCAAAAATCCCCCCCACACGCAGAAACGTAAAGTCATAGAATTTGTACACTAGAATTGTTTCTAAAGACCCCATAGTTGGGCTCTCCCTTCCCTGCCAGCCACTATACACATCTCTATTTTATTTATGTTCAGGAAAAATGGCTCACTCCACTTTAAGTTCTGTTAAGGACAGAAACAACGGGTTCATAGGCACAAGCTTTGTGATTACCACAATACCATGACCAGCAGCATCTGAAGGGAAATTTAGGGCTTGCAAAATTCTTTCATACATCTTGGGTCACTTGATCTTTACCAAATTATAAGGTAAATGGTAAGCATGTATCTTCACACCCATTGACAGATAAGAAGAATGAGGCTCACTAAGCTAGTGCAGTAACTGGACAGAGCCAGCACTGAAATACTGTCTTCTCAACCCATGACTAGGAAGAGAAATTTCCATGACTCCATGCCACCAAAGTACAAATGCCATATGAAAATGTAGTCTAAAAATACATAGCTACAACTCATACTCTCCTTAAAAACATCTCCTACTGGATACAGAACTTTTCTTCCCAAGGTCACAACACATTAGAAATAGCCCAAGGCTAAAAAAAAAAAGACTTTGCCCTGTCCAAATCATTCAGCTATGGAACCAAATCACAGTTCTTAAAATACAGACTTGAAAGAATAAAAGGGAAAGGTTTGAGTAAATGAAGCTACCTTCTGCTCCCCCTCACTCTAAGCCAAGAAAAGGTCTTAGTAACCACTGGGGTAATGCTAGCCACAGCACAAGAATGAGAATATGTACTTCGTCTTCATAAGAATTGCTGCAAGTGTAAAATGAAGAAAAAAAAAAAAAACCCAACTGATCAAAATCACTGCTGTGATTAAGCAGGAAGCCTTAGGACAAAATAGTTTATGACATATAAGCACCTGAAAGGTCAGCCTGGCTGAGAGCCGAGGTCTCCTGGAGACGTGCCATGTAACTTTACTAAATTGTGTGTGTACTCTACCTAACATCTTGGCAAGCCACTGTCTTGGCATGCTTTCCAAAGACCCCGCTACAGGAAGTTTAGCTCTATGATAATCAAGTCTCCTCCAAGCACGAAGGTCACTGAAATCGTGACCTGCACAGAAAATGAGCTGCATACACCTATCAACAGATCTTAAACTGCTCCCACATTTCCAAATTAATTATTTGAAAATCGAGGGCAAAACTACATAATGCATATTTGAAATCAGAAAGGTGTCAGTCAACTTAAATAAAGCGAGTGTGCTAACAAAATTTCTGTATAGTCTCGGAGTCTACGAAAGAAGGGGGACGAATGGAGTCAGAAAGGGAATGGGATGAGAAAATTGAATTTTTATCTTTGATTCACCATCAGAGTATTACAAGAAACATTAATTAACAGCATATATTTTTACTAAAAACACGTTCTGGCTTAATCAAGGGGAGCTGTGTGAGGCTTTCAGGACCAGTTAGTTCCTTCACTTTCTGCTCTCTAAAGGTACTCCACCTCAGCGGCTCAGCGTATCTGACGGCTAACCACGAGCCCGGAGAGATGTGCCCTGCAAACACAGGCATGCCTGCATGCAGTGCACAGACACCCTCCTCGGAAGGACAAGAACATAGAACCATGGTTACTTTGTCGACCACATCAGATTTTCCTCACAGGTCACAGATCCACACAGGTACTGCTGGAAGCCTTGAGTTGTGAGAACTTTTTATCTTGCATTCTAAATTGCACGAAAATACATCCAGAATCCAACCCCCCTTCCCACCACCACCAATGCCCTCTCTGGGTCAGGGCCCCCCCATCATCTCATGCTTGGACACGGCAATGACTCCTAACTGATTTTCTTGCTTCTACTGTTGCCCCCTGAAAGCCATTCTCAACATAGCAGCACAGGGAGCTTTTTAAAACTTAAATAAGATCATATTACTCCTGCTCAAAACCTGCATTAACTTCCCAACTCAAGAGTAAAAAGCAAAGGCCCTATGATGTCCTACAAGGCCCTGTGTGATCTGCCCCTATTACCTTTCTGACCTCATTCCTAACCACACTTGCCTTAGCCGACTCTACTCCAGCCACACTGGTCTCCTTGCAGTTCCTCAAGCATGCCCGCTGGATGGCCTCAAGCCTCAGGGCCTTTGTACTGTCTGTTCCCTCAGCCTGGATTGCTTTCCCTTGGTATCCATGGCCAACTACATAACCACCTGAAGCCTTTGCTCAAATTTCATATTCTCAATGAGAAATCTGATGGCCTTATTTAAAAGTGGAACTGCTCACCCTGTCCTCTTCAACACCAGCATTCCTAATCTCCCAATAATCCATAGCACTTATCACTTAAAATGCCCTGTAATTTACTTACAATGTATAGTTTCCCCCACTAGAAGGTAAGGCCCATGAAACCAAGGATCTTTATTTTGTTCATAGACACATGCCAAGCACACAGAGCAGTGCCTGGCACAGAGCATACGTAGGTATTCAATAAATATTTGTTGAAAGAATAAGTGTGGGGCGCCTGGCTGGCTCAGTCAGTAGAGCACGTGACTCTTGATCTCAGGGTCATGAGCTCAAGCCCCACATTGAGCATGGAGCCTACTTGGGGGGGGGGGAAGAAAAGAAAAGAAAGAATAAGTGAATGATAACCTGTTTTGAATAATTAACATAATAAACATATTCTGAATCACTCTCTCTTGACTGTGGGGTCTGTAATTCCATTTGTATTTATAATAGATCTTCCTAATCACCCAGAGCTCTCACCCCATCTAACCCAATGCACCATCCTGAAAAAATATATTTTATACCTTTACCCGAGTCTGAAATTCATAAACAGTAACTATCCGATACCAGTATTTTCTTAAAAAAAAAAAATCAATATAATGCCCTCACTCTAAAATTTTTTTCTAAAGTAAGTTTTAGTGGGAGCATCTAGGGCTTGTTAAAAATGCAAAATCTCAATCACTATGCAAGTGCAAATCCCCAGTCACAATCTGCAGTGCAACAAATTCCCAGGTAATTCATGGGCACTTAAAATGAGAAGTGGGGCCCTAGGAGACATGAAGAAATTAGGTTTGTTCCTTGAATCACCACAGTGAAGTCACTACAAATGTAGACATCATGTGTGTTCTCTTGCCATTTCAAATGGCCAGAACAGGGACTCTTGGGTGGCTCAGTAGGTTAAGCATCTGCCTTCAGCTCAGGTCATGGTCCCAGGGTCCTGGGATCAAGTCCCGCATCGGGTTCCCAGCTCAGTGTGGAGCCTGCTTCTCCCCCTCTCCCTGCTTCTCCCCTGTGCTCATGCCCATCCTCTCTCAAATAAATAAATAATAATGATTTAAACCAAAAAAAAGGCCAGAACAGCATGATACAAATTTTCTGAAAAGGTGAACTCTTAGTAAAGTTTAAAACTAATAAAATAAATCTCCAAATATATTAACACCCAAGTTATATTCCTCAGAAACTCAGTGCATATCAAATGTATATTAAAATCCTGCAAAAAAAAAAAAAAAAACACTTTTGAGATCATAGGTGAACATTCCCACCTGGAATAGAAAGGGAAAATAACAAGATTTAGATGTGGCACATCTGACAGCCCAGTGGGATGCAAGTTTCCCTTGCGCCCGACTGTCCACTCTGAGTCCATCTAGCACACGTGGGCCTGCCCACTCAATGGTCGTGACACCACAACCACAGCAACAATCAACACAACGCCCAGAGGCTTCCACAATGCTCCCACTGGGCGCCAAGATGGGGGTGGTTAGCTTTTACCCTGAAGAGGTCTGCTTCTGCCAAGGGGACCCAGAAGCTCTGACTTTAGGAAGCACTGAGTTTCATATGGTCAAGTGTCAGCAAGAGCCCTGCCCCTGCTGGGACACAACACAACGGATGTGCCGGTTCCACCCACCGCCTTTGGGATGGGACACATGGCTACAGGTGGAGGCAAGGTTGGAGGAGAACTCGATGGAAATGCACACGGGAGGGACACGAGAGCAGAGCCGTGCATGAGAGCCCAGAGTCTGCAATCAAGCTGTCCAAATATGAACCTCCAGCTGCAGGGAACAGTGACTCTAAGCAACTTTTCTAACTGTTCTTGTCCTTCAGTTTCCTGAACTGTAAGAGAGGGACAGCTCCACATCCCAGCTGAGGAAGTAAGGCGGAGAGGTTAACTAGCCCAAGATCATACGATGATAAAGAACTCCAAAGAATCCATGGTCTCTAACCACCATGCTATATGAAAATAGTCAGCAATTAGTATTACTGCTATCATTTTTGTCGTGTTTCTGGTTCAGGAAAGGGATAACCTGAAGCTCCAGTAAGCACTCAGATGTACAAAGTGTCCATTTCAGAAACTAAAAAGACCCTGGCCTCAGGAGGGGCTTTTACACGTTTGCATGCATCAGAATCCCCTGAAGGGTTAGTAAAACACACAGCTTCCTGGGTCCCACCCCCAGAATTTCCAATTCAGTAGGTCTGGGGTGGGGCCTGAAAATCTG